ATTTCCCAATTGAGCTCTCTAAAACATCAATCATCTAAGCCCTCTTTAGGGTTCATAATTCAAATCACATGAATCAACCGTTTAAATACAAGGAAACTCACCCAAATGCTAGGCACAAGGCTCCTCCTAAACATATTCCACCATTGGAGCACCTACAAGCTCTATGAACACAAATCTAAGCAAGTGAGCCGCGGCCTTGAGGAGGAGATTTCGCAAAGTACAGCTGGATTCAAGGCTCAAGAGTACCACCAATGGCTTTAGAAGGTGTTTTCCATCAAGTTTCAAGCCAATAATCGACGGATTTAGTGGAGAAATGATCAAGTTATGGTGAAATGAAGTTTCCAAAGCCATTTTTGCACAATAATGAAGGCCTGCGGGTTTGCAGAAGAAGGAGGGAGGAAGATGATGATGTAATGGTGGCTTTGCCATGTGGCAAGGTTCACTTAAGTGGGGTGGGTCCCACCGCCACCTCACGCGTTTTCAAATTAATTCAAAACTCCATCTGATTCCACTAAACGTCCATAATTTCATAACTTATTTAGAAAATATAATTTTTAACATTAACCATTCTCCTTTAATTATACTTGATCAGATGAATCCTGAGTTTTCTGGTCGTTAGGAGAAAACGCTGTTTTAAGTTGTTGCGCGCGTCGTTGGCACTCTTCCCCAAACTAACTTAATTCCATCAATTTTTACCAGAAATCATATTTCCTAGTTCTATAAACCATTTATAACTCATATTTAAAACCTAGAGCTCAAAACTCACTCGGCACGTTTTACGGTGCAATCGTACCGCAATATTTTGACCCGATAAAACACTATTCACTGAATTTTCTGAAACTTGCCTAACCACTCAATTTTTCGTTCTGAATCCATTTCCTGGGTTATTTTTACCATCTGAGACCTTCTACTCAATTTTTATCTTCCTAGGGTTGCGTGTTGGCTAATTACCGTTTTGCCCTTTCTTTGTATTTTGGCCTAATCTTCAGGATTTTCACTAATCCTTCACTTAATTACTCATTTAATACTTTAATACTTAATTTAAAATTGCGAGGTGTTATATTCACCCCACCTTTTAGAATTTTTTTCGCAAAATTAACTCATACTTTTCTGCTAACTCAGGATACAGCCGGAGAATCTTATCCTCCCGTTCCCAAGTAGCCTCCTCAGATGTGTATCTTTACCACTTTACTTTTATCACAGGCATAACCTATTTTTTGTAGTCTCTATTGTTCCCCAATCCTTCACAATACTTGTCTAGTCTGGTGCTCTGACTTTTTAATTCGCAATACTTTAAACTTTTCCTGATTCACGGTTGCACTTTCGCTAATTTGTAGGTAATAATATAACCATATTACAAATTTGTCTCTATCACTTCACCTCATTCTCATCTCTATCTATCTTTCTGACCCAATGTTGTTCTCAAAAGCCTTTAACCGTTTCCATAATAGGCTCTAACCGTTCTCATGCATACTTACTGATTATTCCTGGAATCTTTCCAACTCATACTTTCTTTAATAGTTAACTCTTTTCCCTGTCCTTACTGTTTCAACAATACCCCAACATCTCCATTATACCAGTCTTTTCCATTGATGTTACTAATCTTACCATTTCGTTGATTCCTTAGCTTTCTCACAAGCTCATACCTCTTAGTTTCAGTTGCATGCTACACCACCCAAATAATCTCAACTCACATTACATTCCATTTTTACATACTTTACTTTACTTTGTCCTGTGTCTCCATATCTTCTTAGATAATCACCAATATGTCTTTCTCTTTGGGAGTCGAAGCTAACAATCCTCACAACAGCTCATACTCCCTGTCAGTCATTTCAAGGTCTTCACCCACAATTCCATTCATGAATATTTCCATCTACAAAATCATATTTATAATTTACACTCCCTGTTAATCTATTTATCACTTAACCATTTAAACTCTATCAATTTAGCTCTCTCCGAGCCTAAACTCGGCATCCATCAATGCCTTCCGTATCAAAGGTCCTATGCCTAAGGTTTTCACCAAGTAACCATTTTTACTCATCATTCTGTAACAATATTATAGATTCAACAAAATTTTTCATTCATTTATACCACCATTTCCTCATTATCGACATTCTTATCATGGATGTCCAACTTTAAAATGCTATACCCTAACAGCTTCACTAACTTCTACCACATGGAACTACTTTCATTCTTAACAATTTTCAAAATTTTATCAATAATTTGTATCTCAAGGGACTTATCTCTCACACTTAGCATGTATCACTACCGTACTCCAAAGCACTCCATCGAGTTATCAACCTTTCTTTAATCACCACAATTTAAGTTACTTATCCTTATTAGACATCTCCACTTAATTCTTCACAACTAACCTCTTACGAAAGGCCATCAGGCCACCATCTTAACTGCACGTTTTCTCATCATTAGTCCTCATAGCAAAACATTTACTCAATTATTCGTATTAACAATGTGTCATCCTTTCTCATAGGGTAGGGACCCCTCGATCACTTCACAATTTTCGTGAGATCCAAAATCCATATCCCACACTTGGTACACACGTATACGGACCTCCTAATCCTCAGAACCATTCCTCAATATACATTCTCATGATGCCTCACATCGCATATCCCATTTGATATATTACTGTTCACTTAAATTTATCTGATATTATATCTTGCATTATTTACTCGACACAATCCTTTCAATACAATGGGTAAAAGTACCCCCAGGTCAAACCCCTCGAGCTCTTGCTGTCCTAAGGGCCCCAGGTGTAAATGACCCACCGATCAGAGAATCTATACTAATGATCCATGCAGTAACAGGTAACCTACCACCAGCTGCCCCTGTGCTAGAAGCCTCCCCAATGTTTCTTATTTGTGCATTTACATCAAACACCTCAACTATACTAGCAGTCCCATCAATGTGGAATACTTCCTCGTCTCATATTACTCATATAAAATAATAGTAGTCTCCGGGAACATAATCCGCACGGAGATAACTATACACTCCGGGCACATAGGCCACACATAGATATCCATACTATCAAGCTGTATAACATGCACCCAGTGCACATAGAATTTATATTTCTATAACTTATCTGTATATAACAGCAAACGTGTACCCAGTACACTCCAGATCACACCTGAACCCATTCCATTTGGTGTCTGTATCACGTCTGTATATAACGGCAAAATATCTTTGGTATATTCACATGGGGCTACCCCCAATAATAATAGTAGTAGGGGTGTAATATAAACTTATTACATATAAGTCGATTCATTATATTCTCTCGTTTAATTATTCCCACTGATAGTTTACTTTCATTTTGATTAAACGTCAGACCTGGTTTATAACATAGTCACTATCATAATAATTCATATTCTCTTCGTAATTTCGTACACATTTCCTAACTCTTAATAGTTTCTTCTGTCACGTTACCGTTCAAATCCATAGCCATTATTTCTTCTTTGACTATTCTTCTCACAGATTGTTTACACTTTTATTTTTACCCGTCATCTGACATGGTACATATAAAAATCTCTTTTTCACGAATTCGAAATCGTTCTCAAGGTTCTGTACACATCCCACATCTCTTAATATAATGTATCATATTTCCCATCACACAAGGATTTTCTAAACACACCCGTCCTATCTCAGAGAACTAATTACACTTCAGTCCTTGCACTAATAATTACACATCAGTCCTTGCACTGACAATTATACATCCGCTCATTAGCTAATCTTATCACTTTCATTTTGACATTACACATTAGCTCTTTTGCTAATCCCATAATTTTCCACTCTATGCACCTTAGTTCATACCCTCATCACATGATTTCACATTAAGTTGTACATTAGCTCATTCACTAATCATACTCTCTCACTTTGTGATTGTACAACAATAACTTATAAAATCCTGTCTCCGTTCTAATCCATTGTTTGCTACAGCTCACACAAACCTATACTCAATATTGTAGGGCAACCCATCAATTTTCCTGCTCACTTCCACCCTTGGTGGTTGTAGAATACTCTTACGTTGAAAATACCTCCACTCCGTCTGTCAATCCCTACCATATACCAAATGATTTCACAAGCACACTACTATTAGCAGCATATATATATATATATACACACAGATCACTAGATCATACTTTCTTTACAATTTCCATTACCATCTTACATATGATTATACAATTCAACCATCCTATCCGTTTTATCATTGCCAAGTCTTTCAATTTGAATCGACGTTCATTAATTACAATAGTGCCTTCATTGTACATTTACCTTATTTCATCCATGGCGATCCTCTCAACTTCTCTCCTATATACATAATACATAGTCAGTTCATCTCCCCATATTTAATCATTACTATATCCTTATGGATTTCAATTCTTTATTTCAATATCTCTCAAATTAACACTTCACTAACGTAAGAATTTCAAGTGGTCCAATCCACTAGGATTAGACATTAAACCTTCCATTTGTTCCTCTACATTAACCATCCCAATCCATTCAAGCGTACACCATCTATCAGGGACTTATAACTTCTAATCAAACATAAAATATTCAAACTTATACCTAAGCATACCTGTTCACATTTTTTTTTTTTTATAATCCATCAGGTTCTAAGTACTCACCTTAATGAAGTCCACTCACCAAGTCCACCTGTACATAATTGTTTTACTATACTACACTTATACATAGAAATGTTACCAATACTATCTTCATACTACAAATCCTTCTCAATTATATCTTTTTTTTTTTTTTTTTTGTAAAAATGGTGGGTCTAGCCCATAGAATTAAATTGAAAGCTGATGCATGTTAAGAGAAACATGCTACATCAACAAGAACTTACAAAAGTCACTCCAAAATGGAAAAATACTTGTAGGGGGAGACGAATATAACTCCAACTCTTAAGTCCTACCAAAGCTAAACTATCAGCACACAAGTTAGCCTCTCTGGGAACAAATTCGAAAGCAACATGCTCAAATGACAGTAAGCTATTCACAATTTAGATTAGCTACATAAGATAAGACTTCTTTGCTATCACTCCCAAGCCAAACTTTCTTGATCTTTAACTCACTTGCCAGCTTAAGTCCTTGCCAGATGCCCCACAACTCAGCTTCAAAGATTGAACAACAACCAATCTTAAATGAGAATCCACTGATCCAGTCACCCTTCCAAGTGCATATCAATCCCCCACATGCTCCTGCATTAGTCTCCAAATTCACAGTACCATCTACAAATATTTTTAACACCTCCTTCTGCTCCTGATAACCAGACCCAAACAGAGGGAAAGGGAGATCTGTTTTCTGAAAAAAAGGGTCCTCACAACAACTGCTTTTCATACCTCTCAGATACAAAAGGATCTTGCTCATCGGATCACTAGGCCAGTCAAATAGCTCTTCATGAACAGTTAGATTTCTCCACTGCCATAGCATCCAACATGTGACAAAAAATGCTTCCTTCCACAAATGCCAACACTTTGTTGAGAAGGAGTTACAGATATTTAATCTGAACCAGTCGAAATCATTAGTTAACATAAAAGCATCAGGTATCTTACCTCCAAACCATCTTTCCCACACCTTCCTAGCCTTCAAACAATCTCTCAGAACATGCATTAAGGTCTCATGGGATGATAAGCAGCTCGGGCAAAGAATCTCCCCTCCATTCCACAAACTAGTAGAACTTCTAACTGGCAATTTATTAAGACATGCCAACCACATAAACGTTGCAATCCTAATGGGCCCTTTCCATTTCCAGATTAGAGTCCAGACTTTATCTTTCTTCAAATTTACATCCAATAATTGCTGGTATGCATTTCTAACCAAAGAGCAACTTAGGCTGCTTCGTAACCAGCATATTCTGTCCTCTGGGCCATTTGGGCAAGGAGTTTGTAAGTTTTGCAGCCTCCTAAGTGTACTGTCTTCAAGATAATTCTTCAAATAATCCCATTGCCAAGCACCTGTTACTTGGTCCACAATATCAATCACCTTCAATTCCTTTTCAGCAGTACACGGTTTATTGAATGCAAGCTCATAGAGGTTTTCTTTCCATCCATGCCAACAATCTGTCCAGAAAAATACTGAATTGCCATTCCCCATCTCCCAAGTCAGATGCTGGTCCAGTTTTACATGTGCTGCACAAATACTTTTCCATAAGGATGAATCTCCATTTTTGACAGCTAGTCCTCTCCTAGGATCATGCTTTCTCCCATATTTCCCAAGTAGATCTCTACTCCAAAGGCTGTTAAGCTTATTAATAAGCATCCAGGCTCTCTTTTGCATGAAAGCTTCATTTTGCACTCGAAGGTTAATTATGCCCAAACCACCACACTCCTTGGGCTCATAAAGTTGCTCCCATGCCACATAGTGTGCTTTCCTTTTTGCATATGAGTCTCCCCAGATAAAATTCCTTTGGAGTTTTTCAATTTCTTGGCAAACATGGATTGGTAAAGAATTGTTTTGCATGTGATACATAGGCATGGCTGAAATCACACTCTTGGTTAAAGTGATTCTGCCAGCCAAAGACAAACATTTGGTCTTCCACCCTTGGAGCCGATTCTGAACTCTTCCAATGACATTAGAATAATGCTGCCTGCTAGTCCTCCCATGTCTCATCAAGGTTCCTAGGTAGCAGCCAATACCCTTGACAACTTTGAACCCACTAGCATCAGCCAGAGTACTCACTATCTCCTGAGTTGTGTTCTTAGAGAAGTAGATACAAGACTTCTCCATACTAACACATTGACCTGACATACGAGAGAATTTCTCCAAACAGCCTGTAATACACTCCATCTGGCTAAGGGAGGCTTCAGCAAAAAGGATGATATCATCAGCAAACATTAGATGTGATATTTGAGGCCCTGCCCTACCAGCTCTAATTGGATGCCATGCCTTCCTATCTACTTCATCCATAATAAGATGGGTCAACTTTTCCATGCATAGGACAAATAAATAGGGAGACACTGGGTCCCCTTGCCTGAGTCCCCTTTGAGGATAGAATCCCTGAGTCCTACTCCCATTCCACAACACCTCAATATAGGGACTTGTGACACAGCCCATAATAGCAGCTATCAGCTCACCTGGAAGCTTCAGCTCTTCAAGAACAGTCTTGACAAAACTCCACCTGAGCTTATCATAAGCCTTCTCTAGATCAATCTTGATAGAAAAGTAACTCTTCTTTCCTTGCGTCCTATGCATAGAGTGAATAAGCTCCTGGACAATAATAATATTGTCCTGGATATTTCTCTTGGGGATGAAGATTACCTGATTAGGAGAGACCAACTCACCTATGAATGATTTGATCTTATTAACCAGAATTTTACTCAATCCCTTATACACAGTATTACAGAGTGCAATGGGACGAAACTGCTTCATGAAACAAGGCCTATCCACTTTGGGTATTAGAGTAAAGAGAGTCTGATTAATCTCTTTAATCTGCTCAGGCTTGCTGAGATAAAACTTCATGCTATTGAAGACTTGTTCTTTAATCAGCTCCCAATTCTTGTGATAGAACAATGCTGGGTATCCATCTGGACCAGGAGTTTTCAATGGGGCCATTTGAAAGAAAGCTTTCTTAACCTCCTCAAGAGAAATATCCAATGACAGTAGGCTTTTATGATCCTCCCTGATAGCTGGCCAAAAGCAACTAGTCTGACTCCACCCTGGTTCAACCAGGTCATCTGTGAAAAGATTAATGAAAAAGTTCCTGGCTAGATCAATCAATTCCTCCTCTCCAGAAATCCATCCACCCCCATGATTCTGAAGTTTGATAATTTTGTTCTTTTTCCTCCTAATCAAAGTGCAAGTGTGATAATACCTAGTATTTCTATCACCACCTTTGATCCAATCCCCTCTAGATTTCAGATACCAAATCTGTTCCTTTTGCTCTAAGATATCAGCAAGCTCTTTATTTAGATTAGCTTCTTATTCTTCCAAATGATAGCTATTCCTCAAGCTCATCTGTCTTTGGATGCCATCCAGCCTAGCTATCACCCTATTTTTCCTATAGTGGGTGAAGCCAAAGACATTCATATTCCAGCTTCTGACTGCTGGGGTGAAAGAAGTCAGACTATCCAAGAGCTTAGAACTTGGATCCCAGTTGGTTTTGATAAAGGAATTGAATCGAGAATCATTCTGCCATACAACCATAAACCTGAATGGTCTATCCCTCCAACACTGATTCTCTTTATCTAATCTCACCAAGACAGGACAATGATCTGAGAAAATTCTAGGAAGATTCAGGACAGTAGCTTCCTCAAAACAGGTTCTCCAAGCATCATTTGCAACAGCTCTATCAAGTCTTTTGAGCACTCTATCCAAATGAGGGAATTTGGGCCCTTTCCAAGTGAATATGTTTCCTCCCTCTCCCAAATCTATAACCACACATGCATTTAATACATTGTTGAACATAATACATCTATTAACATCAACAGGCTTACCTCCTTTCTTCTCGGCAACTGAAGAAATCTCATTAAAGTCTCCTGACAGCATCCAAGGACTATTCGTGGTTCTTCCAATAAGCTTCAGGTCTTCCCATAACATACTTCTTTTTTCTTCTTTAGGGCTAGCATAAACTGCAGTCCAGAAAAATCCCTCCTTACCAGGAAATTCCACCCAACAATGGATGAACTGGTCCTGTTTCCACTCAAGAGTGACACTCACCTCATTCGGGTCCCATACTATCCACACACCTCCTGCAAACCCATTGGCCTCAGAAATTATATAATTAGGATACTCCAAACTTCGAATAATTTTCAAGGCTTTGTCACCACTAACTCTAGGCTCCAAAATGGCAGCAACTCCAACTCCATACTTCTTCCTGAACCTTCTAAAAGTGCTCTTAAATTGTTTCTTTCCAGCACCTCTACAATTCCAGGTCATCATATTCATCATGAATTTTGAGTTTGATGCAAGATAACAAAGTTCTTGCCACTTACCTCAAAGCTCTCATCAGAAGCCTCCTGAATAACAGCATCTCCCTCTCCACCACTAGTCTCAGCTATGCCAACCATAGAGCTATTTTGAGTTGTCCCAGCATACTGTTCCATCTCCATACTCGAGTGAGATTCTGCAATTATTAAGTTATCCTTCATCACCAAGTCAGGTGGTTCAGGGTCCTTCAACCCACACTCCAGGAGCAAACTGCCAACTTGTTGAATGCACTCTACATGATCCAAAGAAGCTTCAAAAGCTGAAACTTTAGCTGCCATCACAAATCCCCCCATAATTTTCTTGTGCATTGTTCCAATTTCTCATTGACTGGTATCAGGGACACTGACCTAGTCCCAGTTTTCGAAGAAGAAACAGGCACCTGCTGTACCCCTTTTCCTTTAGCTGATAATGCCTTATTCGAATTTCTTTTAGCTGTTTGAACCCCTTGTTTCACACCAGAAAACTTCTTGGGAGTGTTTTGGGCCTTAGTAGTGAAATTCATCGCCCCCTCAACGTTCTAAGCAGAATTGCTCAATGACAAATTCTCGTTGTTCACCAAAGAAGTGGGAATATTCACCCCAGAATCTTTATCAATTACTCGCTTCTGAATGTTACTCCCACTGCTCACCACAGACTTCATCCCCATACTCTTTTTAGTATTGGAGGTGTCTTCCCCAACTCATCTGGCATTCCTGGGATCACTTTTCAGTGATGCTTGACCTCCTTTCTTCCTTCTTTGCACCACCATCCACTCACCAACTCCCTGAGCTTCAGACTTTTCCACTGGTTGAACAGGATTCTCACAAGGCTTTTCCATTGGTGTTTGCTTAGCAACTTCTGGACAAGACTCAAGATTATGCCCATATCTGCCACACTTCAAACATATTAGGTACAATCCTTCATATTCTATCCTTTTCCTACAGCCATCCAGTACATACATCCCTTTCAGAGGTTTGGCAAGATCAATCTCGATGCATACTCTTGCAAACCTAGCCCTATCTTCAGTAGAAGTTGTTCTATCAACTCTTAGGACTTTACCAATCACAGTTCCCAAATGATTCAAAAAAGGAAACTCACAGTACTCTTGAGGAATACCTGGCAGACGCACCCATGCTGCAACCTTATGTATGTTTGCCTTCTCTGGATCGAAGCAAGGCTCCCATTTCCTGGTAGCCAGATAATGACCCAGTATCACCCAAGGCCCTCCCGAAATAGCCAAATGCAGGTCCTCCAGGCACCTGAAGCGAACAGAGAAGAAATCATTCCCTAAATCCGCAACTGTAATGCTTCCAGCTTTAGCCCAGAGCACTCCCAACCTGCGCTTCATAAACCCAACACCAATCCTCTTGCCCAGCAACATGACAATCAAGGCGTTCTTCCATCGTTGATGCATACGACCTCGAGCTTCTCCATTGCTCTTAATCTCCACCAGTCCATCCTCTTTAGCTACTGTCTGAAAGCCCCATCCAGAAATAGTCCCCTGGTTTGGATCGAGCAGATCCAGATCAGGATCCTCCTCCTCCATCAGCCATGGTGATGCTTCGCCCGAAACACCATTCTCCATCCCAGTTACCTCCGCGAAGGACCTATGCTTAGCAAGACCCTTCTCGCCAGATTGAAACTCAGAGACCACTTCACGCATCCGACCTTCAGTCGGAATCTCTTCACCATTCTTCGTACGCTTCGTGCTCTTCCTAATCATGCACAAGAAATCAGAGTAATTCTCCTTCAAAATCCCATCGAACCAGCCATTTCTCAGAAACGTAACCCTATCAGACAGAAAATTTTCGCGCGCGTGACCAGACGCGCCTAACTAACTCATTCAAGCAGATGCATTTTTCTCTCTCAATTATATCTTTATTATCCATAATACTACAAACTTCTCCTATGCTAATACTGTACACACCATAGGTTTGTTTACAATTTTTACTTAGGATAACACTTTATAATTTCAACAAAAGGTTCAGACAAAAAACTTAAGTCTGTTTTCTTTAAGTCCTCCATTATTTATAATTTTACTTACCGCCATCTCATGTCCATAGAGCAGTTAACACTGTAGCCACAACATCAGGCTAAGGACTTACACTCGGTGCTCCAGGGTTGCCACACAAGCTTTTTACGATGACCACGCATGTAACACAAAGGAATGGCTTGATCAGACCCACACTAAGGAATCACATATGCAGTAATCGATAAGAATCTACATACAACCATGCAACACATAACACAACTATACACTATCAGAGTTCCCTAACAAAACTGCTCTGATACCATAAAATGTAACAGCCCATTGTACACCAGTATTGTAAACATTAATTATGATATTAAGCGCAGTTACAATCACAGCAATTCATTTATAAAAATGCGAGTAAACTTTTTTCGTTTATTACGCGAGCATTTAAAACCGTAAAAAGCGTAAAAAATAAAAGTTGTGACCATAACTGTAGACTCTTGCGGAATACTTATTTAAACTATTTTTATATCTTATTTTACTCAATACAAGACACTAAGGGATTCCCATAAACCCCCCACTTAGCCAATTTCTCAATCTTATGTTTTCTACCTATCCGAACATGGTTCGGTTATTATTTTTCTGCGGACACACCGAACAAAACCAGTCCTTCATCTTTAGCTATCTTTTTTTCTTACTTAATTAAATTTCCAATGAGCCATCACACGAATCATTTCGATCTCGTTTGCTCTGGATATCGCCGTTTGAAGTTGGGCAAGCAAAACTGCCAAATAACCCCAAAACAGCTCCAAACATCCTTCACTCCACGAATTACTAGAGAAAAACAACTCACTCAAATGCTCTCAAATGTTTATACCATAAACTAGACACCTCAATATTCAATTTGACATATGATACACTTAATTTGACCGAGAAACAAAGCAGGAATAAAATTCCCAAAAACTGCCAGAAACAGCCCCTGCACAGGTGCGTTCTGGACAATCCGTGTTCACAGGTCTCTCCAGGGCTTCTTGCAACCCAAAAATTTCTCATATTTTAGCAAAATGTAGAGGACATCTCAAGATTTAAAATGGCGCATGGCACGTCCCTATCGGACCTCTCTGGAGGGAGATATGTTATCCCGAAGTTCGCCTAAATTCTGCCAATTCTACAGAAAATTCGGCAGAGTTTCCTTTGTTTTTACAAAAATTCCCAAATTGCAAACATGATCTAAGTCCTGAAATGCACCTAATAACCAATGTGTGGCACACACAAGGACCAACAATGTCTTGGGGCACTTACAACCCAACTCAATTTATAGTTATTACACACTTTATATCATACTGCTCACTTGATTAATACTTAATACGTTTCAATCATCCAAGTCCATTTACATGACTTTTCTAAGCATTCACATATCCATAATTCTAAAATAGGCCTAAAGCCCTTCCATCATATTACATCAAGTATTCAAGTGCAATTACAACATATTACAACTTACAACTTCATAACTTTAATTACAACTTGAAACATAAAGCTTAAAAGACATATACAACTAGACTTAAGCAAAATGACATGAACAAATATGACTATGATACTCATCCTACATACATATGGGATGTTCATGCCCTAAGTCTAGCCTAGGCCAAATGGCCATCAAAATGCAAAAAGTGCAAGTCCTCCAATGACTCATTCTATGGGCTTCTTGCCTGCCGCTCCCGTACCACTGCTACCTCCTGAAATAAAGCCCCCAAGACGGGGTGAGATATACGAATATATCTCAGTAACCCAGAGGTTCTGGAGAAAACTCCGCCCAATGGCTCACTTCGATGCATATAAATAATATAAAATAACCACTTTTCAAAACGGGATAAAGCAAGGGATTTAGAGAAACTGGGAAATATAGGAATACAAAATACGACGAAGCGGGAATGGTAGCTACCAATGCCACGCAACGTCCTTGGCATATAAGCCTATGGGTCTCATCCAAGGCGTGTTCCTAGAAAATCCAACCAAGGTACCCCTTCCATCCGCATACACCCGAGACTTCCTAGTGTGCTCCTATCCGGATCACACACCGCGACCCTAGGTCAACTGGAACTCCCTCTCGGAGACCTATCCAGTGGAAGTCTGAAACTCCCGAAGGCAAAAACTGTCTACTGGCCAGAGACTCGGTCCATAAGTACCCTCATAAATACTACATGCATGCTCATGTTATTCTACACTACTTATATACATTTACTACCATCACCCTCAACGGTTTGGTGGAACACACAAGGAGAACAAGCCCCAGTACCAAGAGGTTACCTCAATGTGTTTCTCCACTTAGCTCCAAGCAATTTATGTTCCAAGCTTGTTACTCAACAGAATGCCTACACAGAGGATATTCCCAATTACTCAAAACTAATACGAATGCATGCTAGTTAACAATTATACAAGCATGATTCAACCACTTACCTCAATCCCACTTGGTCCAGGACCAAGGGCAATCCACCGACTTACGCTTCGGGGTCCAAATCGACTTACAGAAACCTACAATAACCATGTACGAACCATCAGTACACGACAATTCTATCAAAACACGTAAAACGTCAAAACCCCCCTACACCCTTGTAGGTTAAGCCTTCTTAGGCTTATTTCACAATTTATTTTTCTAAATTTTCTTTCTCATTTTATTATACTTCCTTAGGTTGCCAAAAGGCCATACCAAGTGCCATTTTTCACTTTACGTCTTTTAAACAACGTTTTACCTAATATTTTACTCTAGGATCCTTTATGACATTTAACACCCTCAATTATTTTTCATTGATTCTTCCACTTTCCAACCACCACACAACCCATCTAAATACCATTTAATACTTGATACATCGTCCAAGCCATGCCAACAACATCAAATCCCTAAAATTCTCTACATGGCCGAATTGTCAACTAGGTAATTCCAAAGGACTCTCCCTCAATTTTAACCACTCCACACCTCATACAATCTCATTATATCAACATCCAATCATGCAATAACTCACCAATCCAATCCTAACACAATTTCAAAATCCAAAGTCATGACAACCTAAAATTTCTCTAAGTTAAAAATACACATTTTTCCTCAATAATTTTTATTGCATTTATAGCTAATACACATTATTCTAGGACACATTCATGTACAAACATTTCCCAATTGAGCTCTCTAAAAACATCAATCATCTAAGCCCTCTTTAGGGTTCATAATTCAAATCACATGAATCAACCGTTTAAATACAAGGAAACTCACCCAAATATTTGCAAGGCACAAGGCCCCTCCTAAACATACTCCACCATTGGAGCACCTAGAAGCTCTATGAACACAAATCTAAGCAAGTGAGCCGCGGCCTTGAGGAGGAGATTTCGCAAAATACAGCTGGATTCAAGGCTCAAGAGTACCACCAATGGCTTTAGAAGGTGTTGGCTGATTACCGTTTTGCCCTTTCTTTGTATTTTGACCTAATCTTCAGGATTTTCACTAATCTTGCGAGGTGTTATAACTGGTACATTGGTCAATTGGAAAGTCAAAAAAATATTTGTGGACAACGGTAGCTGTGCCGACATAATCTTAGGGCAGGCATTCCAAAAAATGAACCTAGATGAGGAAGATTTAAAACCCTGCAACACGGCCTTGATTGCATTCAATGGCCGTAACACCATTCCCAAAGGGTATATTGACCTCCGGCTCACACTGGGAACAAAGGAGGCATACAAGTCGAAAAAAGTAAGGTTCATAGTAACCGATTTCCCTTCAGAGTATAACGTGATTCTGGGTAGGCCAACTATCCACAGTTGGGATATGCTGGTTTCTACCAAACATCAGAAACTTAAGATGATTGGTAAGCAAGCCACGGTCATCACTATTGCTGGGGACCATAAAGAGTCCCGGGACTACTATTTCAAGTCAGTTAGGGCAGTGGAAAGTAACCCTAAGCCTTCAGCCGAGATGCACTTTGACAGCAAACAAGATAGTCCAAAGAAGAAGGGGAAGACTCTGGTCAACATGGTAGAGTTGGATATGAGGGATGATTCTCAGATCCCGAGGCCGGAACTCGATGAGGACTTGGAAGAAGTAACCATTGGAGAAGAGACTCAATCTGCAAAGATCGGTAAAGGGTTGATACACGAGGAGAAAGTTCGCCTTACCGAGTGCCTAAGGAAGAATAAGGATGTTTTGGCTTGGAAGTCCTCAGAGATTCTTGGGGTAGACCCTGCTTTTTGTTGTCACAAGCTTGCAATGTACCCAGGGTCTAAGCTGGTAGCTCACAAGAAAAGAAAGCTCAGCCCAGACGCCGGCAGGTATTGGAAGACCATGTAAAGGAATTATTGGAAGCAGGGTTTATCAGAGAAATACAGTATACAACTTGGCTGTCAAACGTGGTAATGGTCAAGAAGCCGAATGGGAAATGGAGAGTATGCACAGATTATATGGATCTGAATAAAGTATGTCTTAAAGATGCATACCCGATGCCCAATATAGATCAATTGGTTGACAGTTCGTCTGGATTTCGGATGCTATCCTTAATGGATGCTTATTCGGGGTACAATCAAATCCCATTACACCCGGAAGACCAAGAAAAAACTTCTTTCATTGCGGAAAAGGAAAATTATTGTTACAATGTGATGCCCTTTGGATTGAAAAACTCAGGGGCCACCTACCAAAGAATGATGAATCAGGTGTTCGCGGATCAACTGGGCAAAAGTGTGGAGATACATTAACATAGACGACATGATAG